ACCCGCGCGCTGATCGGCCACGTTCGTCAGCCGGGCCCCACGCAAAAAGGCAGCGGGGCCGCGCGCGAGCCGACTCGACACAAAACGAATTTCTTATTGATATTTTCGGCGAAGCAAAAAAAAAAAACGTAAAGTAAACCAGAAAAATAAAAAAATTCAAAGAAAAGAAACGAACGAATCGCGGCCGGTTAGGCGTGAAGCGCGTTTCAACGGCAATCCAAGAAGAAACGACTGTCCTCTTTACTCTCCGCCCCGAGGAAACGATAAAAGTTCGACGACGTGGTTCGACCGACGAAGGAACGATCGAAACATCCGCGCTACAACCACCGACAGTGACCATCTGAGCGATTTTTCGTTGACCAGTGACTGTGAGGGAACGAGCAGTTTTGTTTTGTGAACAACGTTTACGCACGTCCTCGAACTCGTCCTGGAATCGACACGATTGCACAGGTGAGTCCACCAACTGAACACTGACCACGGTCTTTTTATTCTTCTCGTGTCTGTTGTTGGTTTCCCTTTGGTTCTGCTTGATATTTCTTTGTACGGGGGATACGATTAACGACTCGTGAAATCAGTGTCGTTTCAGTGTAAATAAGGATCCTTCCGTTCACAGAGTTTGGTATAGTTTGTGATCTGTGTGGCGACGAAACGTTCTGTTGCGATCTGTCAACATCCGGACTTTGTTTTGGTATGTCATAATTTGGTGTGTCAAATGTTGGGTTCTTATTATTTAACAAATTCTTATTTTTTCTGAGCTGTGAGAGTTGCGGACTTTGTCCGAGCATGAGATGGTACTTTTAGGGTAATCAGGTAAAGACATTCAGATGTTGTATTTTTCCTTGGCATTTCCGTAATCTGTTGGTCTCTTTAGTTATTCTAGGAGTTGGTCTGGCATTTCGATTTTGTTTCCTTTCATGAGACGAAATAGTATATGTTTTAAGGTGAAGGACGTAGTTTTCATTGACGCTTAAGTGACTTCCCTTTGGTCTGATCGCATTGCCTGTCATCCACGGACACATTCCCCTTGTAGTAGACACATCTCAAGCAGAGACGCGTCTCCGATTGTGTAGTGACATTCACGATGATAGTGTGCACTGGTGGTGGTGTTAATTGTGTACTAAACAACGCGTAAAAACCTCGAAAGCCGATGGAACGGTACAAAATGGTACAACGGGAATCGAACTGAAAACAAGTGGAAGTGACGTTCGGTATTATGAATTCGCTAAAAAATGGAAAATATCACGTGGATATAATAAGTGCTGTAAAAAAAGAAGGTTTTAAATGAAGGCTGTTCGCATAAAGTGACAATTATGAGCTATTTTCGCGATCATTAAATCGAAATTGTCGAGGTGTCGATAAAATGAAAATCAATCTCACCTGTGCGCGTTCATTAAAACGTCATAAATAATATTTCGTCCGACATATGTTAATTAACGCGCGACGATGGAAATCATCATAAAAATTGTGGAACTGTTGCATAAGCGAAGAACGGATTTTAAAGCAGCTCAATGTTTATCATGTTTCGTGGGTGTTGAGTGACAATTACGTTTTATACGAGAATCAAATTAAAAATGTAAACGATAGAGGTTTCCGTTTGGACTATGTGACAATTTAATGATTATTACTGAGCCATTACTTATTACCGGTAATAGTTCCTGTTATACAGAATGAACAAATTTGGAAAAAAAATCGAATACGAGATAAACGCGTGCAACGTAAAACTAGTGAAAGAGCCGCAATTTATGTGAGTCTAAGTAGTTACGGTCCGATCTTGTCAGACGTAAGACGCACTCAGAGAATTCTTCCGCCCCCGTCGGAAGAAGCAATCAAGACGCGTTTAAGAAACAAACTAAAAATTGACACCAGTGAAAAAATATTATTACATTTAAACCAAACTATTCGAGTGTTAAATTGTGATAAAACTGATTCGCGTTTAACGATAATACAGCCGTAAGAACCGTTAACGTACAACTTCCAAAACACAAATTAACGCGCGATAACCGTGGAAAATATAAAAATATACAAATTTAAATAAACATTAATTTACACGTCACAGTAATCGTTCTTGCCGTTCAACGCGTTATGGAAACAAAGCATAAACGATCGATAAAATAACTTAAAATTAGATAAAGCAACATCAAACGTAAACGTTCGAAATAAATTATAAAGAGCACATAAAACCAGCTTCTCCACTAATTTCACAAATAAAAAAAAGTCACTTCCCAAACGATCTACCGCGCCTTTTAAACAGCCTGCGAGGTCGACTTCGGTTACACAGAATAGTCTTCGACGTGATCACGAGAGCTTCATTGAGTACGAAAAATTAGGCACTTCCGCGGCAGTACAAAGGTCCCCTGATCGCAACGTCGTCCCTATGGAACTGAGGGTCCGAAAATCAGTGTCCAGCCTCGGTCGTGAATCCAGTATAACCAGTTTCTCCGATCGGAGCAAAGGGTTGAAAATAAAAAAAGGGAAAAGAACTGCACGGGCAGGAAGGGTTACTGGCGGTACGCAGCTTTGTCGGTGTTCTGTTGCTGAAATACCGCGTGGCAGTTAGTGACCCGATCGATGGCCGCGTATAAACAGCTAATAATCAAACGAATCGTGTCATAAACAATCCCACGGTGGGGGATGTGGAGTGGTGGTAAAAGTATAAATGAGTTTCGATCGGGAGTGGGGTGCGGATGGCATGGGTGGTGGGGTGATCGCTTCGAAAAGCTCGACTTGCGTGAAAATTTCTTTCGAACGTCGTTTCCAGCCTCGAGTGTTCGTCGATCGTCCGAATTTCTGTCGAGGTGTGCGCCAACAATTGACGACGGCTTAGGAAAGGAAACGATAAACTGGTTACGATTGATGGATCCCGAATTGGATGGTATTCAGGAACGCTTGCCGATACGTAACTTCTGTATCATCGGGTGCACGCAGATTTTGCGTAGTTCGCATTGAAACGTCGCCCACAGTGGAATGTGCATTCGATCAAACCCGTTCTGCTCCTTTCAAAGGCTGAATCGTAGTTTCGCGTTCAATGCTTTCACCGGGATTTGTTCTTGTTTCTATTAAATCGTAGAGGCGATTACGCGATACGACCAAGAAAATAATTGCTATTCTTTGGTTTATACACATCTTGTTATGAGGTATCAGATTGTACATCTTTCGAAATTTCGAAAAATCTGTTCTTCTTTTTGTTATTTCCAAATCTGAACTTTAAAACTGTCATGTAGTCACATCTTTCAAACTTTGGGGAAGAATCAACTACATCTTTCAAATTTTAGACGACAATCAACTATATCTTTCAGACTGTAAGGAAGAATCAACTACATTTTTGAGACGTTAGATGAGAATGAACTATGTCTTTCCAGCTCTAGATGAGAATCAACTATATCTTTTAGACTTTAAAAAAACCAGTACACATCTTTCAAACCACAGGCAAGAATCAAGTACATATTTCAAACTTTAGAAGAATATCAACTACACTTCTCAAATCCAAAATGACAATCAACTGCATCTTTCAAATTTTAGACAGGAATCAATTACATCTTTCAAACTTTAGACAAGAGCAATCAAAATGTCAAGTTTTACACAAAATATAAAAAACTCGAATCGGGGTATGAGCTTAAGGTCTTAGGGCAAAATTTGGTTCATTCATATTTAATTTCATGTAGAACCAGCATGATACAAGAATGATGAATATATTTTTCATAATTCCTATTTGGAATTGTACTGTTAGATAAAAAGAAATTGTTCATATTGCCGAAAGAATTTGATCTAAAAAGGAATATCATTTATACAGCAGACTATTAATATTAAAAGTAAAATGACTCTGAACGAAATGATGACTTCACCTGTTTCTTACAGAAAAATTTTTGCGATGAGACGACAAATTTGATACAGGAAACACGTAAAATTTTGTTAGAAAGATGAACTTAATACACGTAGGTTTCAAGTGTATTAAATATTAATAAACTGTATAAGTATTGATGAATATGGGAAGCAAAATGTAATACGCTTAATATGTCCAAAATTGTGCGAAGATTATAATCCGTTCTAGGAAGCGGTGAATGAGAGAAGATTGGAGATTTTCGTAAAGTTTAACGTTTGAGACTCATAGGGAACTTTCGATGTTAAATCAAAGTTAAAATTGTCTGCGCCGGTATAAATTTCCCAGGTACGCAGATCACAGGCAGTATTTCATGTTCGTCTGTCATTCGCCGTCAGTTTAATCTTTCGACATCGCATGGCAACGTTTCCATCAGACACAGTGCTTTATCCTCCCAAAAATTCGCAAAAGTAGCTGGCAACATGGTAGAAAATTTTTCGTAATCCGTTTCTGTACCGATCGCTTCGACTATTTCCGAGATAGTCCAAAAGTATCGCTGTCCAAAAGACCAAAATCATAATTTCTTCCTCTAATGTATCTCACAAATGTCCGTAAAAACCAAGTCCAGAAGTATATTTCCGAGAACATCTACCCCGAAGCGTCCGAAGTCCATTGCGAAAGAAACGGGGGCGAAAGTGATCTTGCCGTTCACGTCACAGTGGCACAACAACGGGATAGGATACGTATACGTCGAAGATCGATGTATCTAAAAAAGTTGGAAAAAAGAACAACACACTGACAACAATATACATATACATATACCAACCATGAAAAAGCACGAGGTGATTCTCGTTGTTGCTGTCTCCCGTTGGTGGGAGTCTGACCGGCTGGGGTGGGGGATATGTGTGTTCCGAGGGTGAACGGTATGATAACGTCGAACAGGTCGACACGCGATGTATCAGTCGGCGAAGAGAGGAAAAAAGGGATAAC